AACAAATAGAAATGTCTTGGAAAGGGTGCAGCCAGAATGCTCTTTGGAGGCAAGAATGATGAGGCTTCGCCTAACATACTTTGGACGCATTGCTAGGAGGTGCTATTCCTTGGAGAGGGATATGATGTTGGGAAGGGTAGAGGGTCGTTGAAGGAGAGGATGACCTCAAGCAGGTGGATTGACAAGGTGACTGATGAGCAATGGACTCTTTCTTGTGTGTCAGGAAGTGTGAGGATGGTGCAGGACAGGACTGGTTTCAAATCTTTTGTTCATAGCGTCGTTATGAGTCACTAGATGACACCTAACAACGACAGCAACTACCCTTCTAAGAAAGAGATTGACGTTTATAGGACATTGACCCTGTAATTACCCCCAAAGTATGAATCCATTATACAAGTTTAGATCTGTTGGAGATTCACTTTATTGGCCATGATTAAATTGGGAAGCACAAATTTATAACCTTATTTCTGTTTAAAAAGTACCACAAAAAGTTAAAACAAGAGGTTGCTAATCTTTGTTCTAAAGTAACTTGCAGTTGGCTAAAGAATGAAGGCCCGCAAAGGTTTTGCTCTCAATAATTTACCTCACCAGCAACAAGCCACTGCCTACTCTCTGCTTAACTCTGCCTGTCCATCTCTTCAGTTATGAATAACCTAGAATACCAAAGGCATCATTTTATTTCTATGTTATATGAAGTAGAGGAGAATTTAAAGCACTTTAATACTGTTTCTATTATACATCATATCCTTCTAAAAATTTTTATTAAGGCAATATAGTAGAGATGTTCCATAGTAGAGTTACTAGATAATAACCTGACAAAACCCTTTTTCCTGGACTTTATACCATGAAAATCTAAAAATGTTATCATGAAGATAAAGGGGTGGGGGTATACCTTTAATAAGTTATGTAAATTGAAACTTTTACTATAAAAGGTACATTGTAAATATTTCTCTCTAAAGAATTTTCCATTTGGACTGCGTTCCAGAGACTGCCCTGAAGTTGATTCCTACTGATGATAAACCTCCATCAGGGTTTTTGCTTATTTGGTTGGTTTTTCCCTTATTGTGTGCCATCTTCCTGGCATAGGAGGAGACTGCCCATCCTTCTCCAGTGGAGCATTTGATGGATTTGAACTGCTTCCCTTTGGGATTGCAGCACAGCTCTTAACAGGTGTTGAGGCTGTAAATCTTAGAGAAGACGGCCTTTATCTTTGTTCTCAAGTCCAGCTAATGGGTTAAAACTTCTGACCTTTCAGTTAACAATCTACTACAGTACTCATGTCAGGCCTCTTGAATACTCCCTGAAGGGTTCCAACTCAATGGACCAGAACCACAGCACACTACCAGAATTGACCAAGGCCTCATAAAGTAGAGGGACCCAAGGAAATCTGCTTGCTTTAAGGCGCCACGCACCTTCTTAAACAGTGTTCAAAACTAAGGTCTCAAATAATCATTGCCATTTGCACATGTGCATGCCTTCGAATGGTTGATCCACTTGAGGGGTACTGTTATGGTTGCTACAGATCTCCCTCTTTCTTCAGAAGCCAGCTGACTGACTGCCACCCTCGACCAGCTGATCTTTGTTGCCAGTCCACCTGGCTTGATGTCTGTCATAGTAGATTAAGCCATCACACATACCGATTCTGGTGATCTTTGAACATATTTTTAATTACAAATTAAATGCTTTGTAAAATATATAGACACTATAGAACTGCTTTTTAAAAGGTGTCTAAGTTGTCTAGTTGTAATTAGGTTCTCTGTTTGACTATGGTGGTTTAGCTTGTCTTAGATCACCTGGAGGGCTTACTAATAAAGTTTGCTAGACCCTGGTGGTTTTGATTCAGTAACCCTGAGATGGTGATGGTGGAAGTGGAGGTGGTGGTGGTTAGATTACCACTGGTTGGTTCCAATTCACAGCAACTCCATGTACCACCAAACAAAATGCCGCTAAGTCCCACACCATCCTCGGTTGTTGATCTGTTGAAGCTCATTGTTGCAGTTACTTTATCATTCAGTCTCATTGAGGGGTTTCCCTAACCACCTACCAAGCATGATATCCTTCTTCAGGGACTGTTTCCTCCTGATAACATGTCCATTATTATATGAGACAGAGTCTTATCATCCTTCTAAGGAATATTCTAACTATGAATCGTTCATTTTTCTGGTGGCTTGTAATCTCTCTCTCACATTGCCGTTGAGTTAGAAGTCACTCATAACTGACCCTCCAGCAGGTGTCTGAGGCTGTTATTCTTTCAAACAGTCAAAGAGATAGGGCCTTTGGGTTAGCATTGAAATTCTTACTGCTTAGAGCTCTGATGGCTTAGTGGTAAGGAATTGCGCTGCCAGTGTAAAGGTACACAGTTTGAACCCACCACCTGCTCCATGGGGAAAAGATGGACAGTCTCTTTGCATATGATTTACTACCTTTGAAAACTCACTGGAGGGTCGGACTTGTACACAGCAGCAACTGCTTAGTGTCATATTTTCATCTTTGTCAGTCTGGTGATAACAGACTTCATCTTCTATTTCTTTATCATGAGGTTGATTTTTCAAGATATTTCTTTTCCTTTTAGATTAAAATATTTATCCACATTTTTTTCTTAGAATTAGTCACTATTTACATGTGAATCTTTAATCTATTTTGGTATAAAGAATAAGGATTCCACTCACTACTACTAGTGGCTGTCAGCTAAGTAAGAGTTGATTGCTCGTGTAAAGAAGCTTAGATTGTCACAAATTCACCACTTTAAGTCTCAATTTGTTTTAAAGCTGATTGATACAATGCATAGTACACTATAGTATACCTAGAACCAGGAATGGAACCATTAGACTCACTGTGACTACTGTATTCTTTTTCTTACTTAGTGATTTGACTTACATTTCAGAGTGTGTATTCTGGACAACAACCAGAGTGAATTCCTACTTAAAAGTTTCTCTTGATCAGTGAGGCTTTTTTACCATTTTGCTTATACTGGGCTAAGTGAAACATAAAATGAACATATTTGTATGTAGTTTCTAAAATTTTCTAGATTTATATACTTGTGTTTTCTTTTAAATTATAGCCAAATGACTTATTGTTACTTGTTTTGTTTTTTTAAAGATTAAAATCATGGCAGGTCCAGAAAGTGACGCTCAATTCCAGTTCACTGGTATTAAAAAATACTTCAACTCTTACACACTCACAGGTAGAATGAATGTAAGTATTTATGATTACTTTATGCAGGTAAGTTTAAAATAATACAGATTGGGTATTAATTCTCTTGTTGCTCATCATTCTCTTTTTCAGTGTGTACTGGCCACATACGGGGGCATTGCTTTGCTTGTTCTATACTTCAAGTTAAAGTCTAAAAAAACTCCAGCTGTGAAAGCAACATAAATGGTAAGAACCTTAAGTAAGACCTCCCTCCTTCCCACCCTATTAAAATGGCATGACGAGGCATCTGACCACAAGCAAGGAGGGAAATCCCCAATCAACAGCCTGAGACTAATTCCTGTGAGACAAAATCAGGCATCCCTCCTCACTTCAGCCCTTTTACCAACTTTGACAGCACCCACCCACATTTCTACACCTGGGTTAAGTAGTTCTTTGCAGTGGCTATTCAGGACTCTTGACAGCACTCATTATCATGGGGCTTTAGTAGGAAAGGAACAGATTCCATTCAGGATCAGGACAGACTCAGAATATGGTTCTGTTAGGACAGCCTCTTCTCAGTTATGTAGGCCTTTCCCTGACCCTTGGCTACACAGCCTTTGGCCCTCTGAACCTCTTGGGTGGTCCAGCCTCCACCCTGCTAGGTGTTAACAGAGCTCTTTAACTCTGTAGTTAGAGCCCCACTCACTCACTCAGCCAGCAGGCCGCCTGTCCAAGCTCAGCTCTGACTATGGGTCAGCACCTCCACACTGTCTTCTACCAGGCTTCTGATTCTGTTGCTGCTTTCCATGTTCCCTGCTACAACTCAGTCTCTGAGAGGCTCTCACTACATGGACATCATGTTAAAAGAACACATTCCACTCCTGGCTCTTATTGGGCATAAAGTCTTCCCCTCTTTTCTCAGATTGGCTCCCGTAAGCCTAGCGGTTTGATGAAGCTGACCAATCCTTTTTTCCCCCCTAAGGTTCTATCATCAAGCAGTGCCTCATTTAGTGGCGTTACAAGATCATGGCTAGAAATGCCATATAAAAGCAGTCCATTTTACTATACCCTCTTCCATAAAAAGAAACATTTTAAGAAAAATGTTGCCAAGGCCCATCATCCTGGTAATATTTGAACATTTGGACTTGGATGTTTTTTAGAAAAAAAAAATCATTCATAGTCTTTTCCCCAAGGATTATGGTGGTATATCCAGTGGTATAAAAGGGTGTCTCTTCTTCCACCCAGTGTGTTATGTGCCATCGAGTCAGAATCAACTGATAACTGATCCTCCACTGGTTTTCAGGAACACAGAAAGTGACTGCCTTTCTTTCTCCTGCAGAGCAGCTTCTTGCCACTAAGCCACCAGAGCTCCCATATACATCAGTTTAATGTGCATCTCCTTCATGGACTCGAACATTTTTCTTTGGCACTTAAGTTTTTCTAGTCCCCAAAACTATTCACTTTGGAGGACTTTATCTGCCAAAATATAGCAGTTCATGGTCTATATCTGATGAACAAGTATTTTGCCTTGTCCGTGGTAAATGATTCCTAGCTTTTAGAAAGTCATTGTATTCCCCTTGTAAAAAAATGGAGAAATTGTGTCTCAAATATTAGATAACTGATACATGTTTTCTGCTGTTTATAGAAGTCCAGTAGTATGCATTTAAGAACCTATTATATTGTTGGCAGCTATTTTTTAAAGATGGAACATTAAATTTCACTGACCTGCATGACAGCTTAATTTTTTTCGGGTTATTGATTCCTAGCAGGGTGTGATAAAAATGCAGTTACACAGCACAAATTTTGTAATCAATTTTAGAAGGTTCACCAACAGTCCCTTTGTAGTTAAGTATTGAGTTGAATACATTTGTGTCAGAACCATTTTGTTTTTGTTTTTACAGGGATTCTAAACTGCACCTTCTCTGCTAATTTGTCTTACCTGGAATGTCAAATCATCAAATGATGCTTAATTTGTACAATAAATTATGAACCTGGAAAAGCTGGTTGTCTTTATTTACAATATATCAAAAATATAAAAACTGTACAAAATGAAACAAAGGCAAAAAACTGGCAGTGACTTGGTCTAAATCTTTTAGTTCACCAAAGCAAGGCTCAGTACTAGAGGTAAGCAACTGAAATGTCTGTCTGACTTCAAGTGTACGAGGCTGAAGATCTGTTAGCTGAAGTAGAACATGGAAACCTGGTTGATCAAGCATTTTTAAGTGCACTCAGTACCAACAGGTGTGAATTTAGATGTCAGTAGATGTTTGTCCTTTATCTAGCTCTTAAAAAAGGAAATGTAGTTCACTCTACCCAGTTACATCTGGGGCCAATCCAAAATGTTAGTTGATCTACCTAACATCATACTTCGGTGTCCTACAGTAACTACGTTTTTACAACAGAAACATACATGCTCATAGAATTCTTCAGCTAAAATTTAAGATGGTATTATATTACTCAATTTGAATCTTTTCAAACAGGATGAATTGAAATCAATTGACTTTTTTCCCCCAAACATAATAAATTAAAGTAGCATTTGAACAGAATATGCATAGTTTCCACACAATCCAAAGCACCATAATGTCCCTTCCACGACATAATACCTCCTATTCAGCTAACGGAAATCAGTTAGATGCGGTGGCTATAGAAACGTGGAACTGTCCTGTTCAGATGTTCCAAGCAGCATACTTCCAGATCCACAGAGACAAAACATTCTTTGTAGCTTAAATATTAATCACTGAGGTATTTGCTTTTAGTCTACCCTTTTCAAACAGTAGCTTCCAAAAAGTCTTTAGTACCGATGGTTTATTGTGGACTATAAGCTCCTGCGGCTAGAACCAAGTTTCTTCGAGTAAAATGGAGGTGTACGACTGGTGTTGATTTGGTCATATATGTTCCCAACAGTAACTCCTGCGAATTCTCAGGTAAATTTATATGCCCAGTGGCTGTAGTAAAGTCATCAGTTTCTAAATCTTCAAATGCTTTGATGGCATCCCACAACCGGACTGTATTATCCATCGAACCTATGGGGCAGACAAGGGAAATCAGTTAGCATTCATCACAGTTAGATGTTGATGTTTTAGGAAATATACTTTAAGTTTACTGTATAGATATATGAGAATATCTAAACTTGATTAATCAACTATTGCTTCTAAAGGAGTACTGTAAGTTTAACCTGAGAAGTCAGTATGCATGTACGCTCACTACTATACACCTAAATCTAAATAATGACACAAAATCTAAAATAACCTGTTACCTTTGACTCCAAGTGAGGGACTGACTATATGTCAGAGTAGAACAGCTCCATAGGTTTCCAAGACTGTAATCTGTAATCTCTGGAGACCCTAAAGAACTTGAACCACTATCTTTTCAACTATGCTTACCAGGGCCCCTTAAACCTCAGCCAACACAACGCCCACCTTTATAATGCAATATAATAATATAATCCTATGTTTCCTTATAACAGTTACCACAAATCCATTTCTAGTCATTTACCTGATGCTAAAATTTCACCATCTCTGCTAAACCTAAGTGAACAGACAGTGTCCGTGTGGCCTTTGAGTTCTCCAACCATCAAACCATGTCCAATATCCCAAAGGAGTACTCGGCCATCTGTTGCTCCTGTAGCCAGGAATCTCCCATTGGGAGAAAATGTCAAGGAATGAATTGGTCCCTAGGAAAAAAGTTGATGGCAATAATTAGTGTAAGGCCAAATATATTAAAAGAGACAATTTAAAAACTTAGTGGCATGACTAGTAATTTGAAAATGTAAGTCATGCCTGTTAGTTAAAAGAACAACACACCAGTTCTAACTTGAAAGCAGTTCTGTATTGGAATAATGATGAAAATTACCTTGTGTCCAGTGAAGATTCTTACACAGTTCCCATTCAAGACATCCCAAAGTCGCACAGTTCTGTCTGCAGAGCCCGTAGCAACATAATTAGAGTTTGGATGGAATCTGGTGCAATTTACATCAGCAAGATGTCCAGCAAATATCCTTAAAGGTTGGTAGTGGTCTGTAGCCCAGAGCCTTTTTTTAAGATGTTTTTGAAAGCAAAAGATGTTAATTAGCAACTGAAATGTCAAAGTTCTAGTAAAAAATACCATTTATAATAGCCAACCGCAAATTCAAATTGAGATACTTGGGAATAAACCTAATAGACACACAACAACAGCATAGAGAGAGATCAGTTTGTCTAGTGGACAGAAAGTGATGCTTCCAAGCCAAAGGCGAGTGACTTTAATCGGCAGCCCTCAGGCCTGTTTTTAATTGTTTTTAGTCAAACGTTCTAGGTCGTATAACCCTGGCATGTCCGCTTGCTGTACTGTGACACTGATGTGTCAAATGCGATAATGGTTACCCATGGTGGACAATGTTGGTTGGAGCTCCCCGATTAAAACAAGCTTGGAAGGAGGAGTGGCATCCACTTCCAAAATAGCTTGCCTCCGGAAACCCTATGGACCTGGAGAAAGGATGAAAGTCACACAAGTGTCCAGGTCTTTTATTCACAGGGTCACTATGAGTCGTCTATGACTCGACGGCACTTAACAACAACAAAGACACAAAAGACCTTTACAAAGAAAACCAGAAAACACCTCTGAAAAACAATAAAAGACCTTAGTGTAAGTGGGGGGAAATGTTCCCTGTTCATGGAGAGAATTATCATTTTCACTATATTAAGTCTTCCTATCAAATGTAATCCCAATACAGATAGCAAATTCATTTTTCAAAGGGAAAAGACAACTGGCAAGTTTATTTGGAGAGGAAAGAGACCTCAAATAAGTAAAGTTACATTGAAAATAATAAAGTGGGAGGCATAACACTCCCTGATCTCAAAACCTACCATTACACAGCTGTAATAAAAGAGCATGGTACTAGTACAATGACAGGCACACAGACCATGGAACAGAATCAAGAACATAGAAATTAACCATCAGAGACAATAAGGTTGGCTGAGGTAGAACAGGGTTCAGAGCTCTTGTACATACAGGGTAGCTGTGAGTTACAAGTGACTCAACAGCACATAACATCTATGGTCAACTGATACTAGACAATGAAACAAAACCAATCAAATGGGGAAATGACAACCACTTCAACAAATGGTGCCTACAAAACTGGACTATTACCTGCAGAAAACTGAAGCAGGATCCATACCTCTCACCATACTAAAAAGCCAACTCAAAGTGGATCAGAGACCTTGGGTAAAGCCCAAAACCATAAATACCTTAAGAGACAAAGTGCAACCAAGCTTAAAAAGCCTAGCCCATGATAAAAAAAGGCTGACAAACATAGCCAGAAATACACAACCAGGAGAGGATAAAACTGATGAATGGGACTAAAGATTAAATACTGTGTGCATCAGAAACTTTTTCCAACAGGGTGAAAAGAAAGCCTACTGACTGGGAAAAAACATCTGGCAATACCATTTCCAACAAGGGTCTCATAACAGATGTTTATAAAATACTATATGGCCTCTAGAAGAAAAAGACTGATAACCCAATTACAAAATGGGCAAAAGACATGTAAAGACTTCATAGAGGAAGACATTCAGATGGCTAACAGACACGTAAAGGAATGCTCAAAATCACTGGCAATAAGAGATGCAAACCAAAACCACAATGAGATACCATCTCACACTATAGCAGTGGCAAAATTTAACAGGACACCAAGCAATAAATGTTGGAGAGGATGCAGAGGTAGGAACTCTGGGATTGTAAAATGGTACAACCACTCTGGAAGGCAGTTTGGCAATTCCTCAAAGAGCTGAACATAGAAATTCTATATGACTCAGCTATTCCACTGCTAGGAATATACCCTGAGAAAATAGAACTGAGGCACAAACAGATTTGTACACTAATGTTCATAGCAATGTTATTCGACATCCCAAGAACATAAAAACAGCCAAATGTCCAACCACAATCAAATGAACTGAGAAACTGTGATACAGTCACATGGTGGAATACTATTTAGCACTCAGAATAAACTACTCTGAAAATTACTACATAAATTGGGAGACACAGGAGAGCATTATGCTGAGTGAACTAACTCAGTCTCATAAGGAAAAATACTGCATAAGACCATTCTTGCAGAATGAGATTGTTAATAATTACAACTTGCTTTAGCTGCTCCATAACACTCTTGGCACCAGCAGTCAGAAAATCAAAAGTCAAATTGCACTGGGGAAATCTGCTGTCAGAGACCTCTCCAGAGTGCAGAGAAGCAGCAATGTCAGTCTAGAGACTTAAGTTGTGCCTAATCCAGACCATGGTCTTGTAATTACTTGTTATGCATCAGAGAGCTGGACAATGACTGAGGATGACAGAAGAATTGATGCCTTTGAGTTGTGGTGCTGGAGAAGTCTTGAACATACCATGGACCACCAAGAAAACAACTAACTCTGTCTTGGAGAGGGTAAAACAAAGTTTCTCCTTAGGGGCTAGGATTTTTTTTTAATTTATTTTATTATTTTTGTGTGTGTGTACCGTCAAATCAGATCTGACTGGTACAGGAGGAGATTATCCCTCCTTCCCCGGCAGAGCATCTGGTGGATTCGAACCGTGCGCCTCTGGGATTGTAGTTGCAGCTCCTAGGCCACCAGAGCTCCCCAGAGGCTAGGATTTTGAAGCTCCTTCTTACATACTTTGGGCAACTGACCAGGAGGGATCGGTCCCTAGAGAAGGACATCATGCTCGAAAGAGTGGAGGAACAGTGCAGGAGAGGAAAACCCCAGATGAGATGGATTGATAAAATTAAAAGGGCAATGGGGGTAAGAGTACGAGAGTGAGCGAGACTGGCTCAGGACAGGTCAGGCTTCAGAGCTGCTGTACATAGGGTTGCTATGAGTCACAGGCAATTTGATGACATATTAACAACAGAAAGATCACTAGTAAAATGTGTATGAGGATGCAAGGTGGGGAGGGTGGGAGCAGAAGGGTAAGGATGAGCAGAGGGGAAATCATAGGGTTATATAATATAGTGGGTAGATGGAGGGGTGGGAAGGATCCAGGAGGGATCTAAAGAAACAGGATAATGGTGGGCATAGTTCAATGATGATTAATTTTATAAAATAGGAATGATTGCATAAAACACAATGTATATGAACTTTGTAAGCAAATCAATATAAAATAAAATTTTTAAACAAGTTCCATACAAAAATAAATACGGAAGCATCTATATCAAACGTTACCTCACTAACTGAGGGAAATTCCCTATTAATGCAGATAACTGAAGAAGAATTGATGCCTCTGAATTTTGTTGGCAAAGAATACTGAATCTACTATGCACTGTCAAATCTATCTTGGAGGAAGTACACCAGAGATGTTCCTTAGAGGCAAAGATGGTGAAACGTCATCTCATAACCTTTGGGCATGTTGTCAGGAGGGGCCAGTCCTTGGAGACCCCTCAAGAGGGACTGACACCATGACTATAACAATGAGCTCAAGTATACTGGAGACCATGATGACGGTGCAGGACAAAGCAAGGTTCAGATCTGTTCTTGGGTCTTTATGTGTGGTAGCCGACTTGGCTGCACCTAACAAAAACAAATCCAGCTCCTTGCCTAAAACACAGAATTTTCTCTTAGTATTGGCCACCCTATAATTTGTTTCTAACCTGAGCTAACGAAATGTCAGGAAAACAAAGGTGATAAAAGAGAGAAAGGTTAAGGATGGAAGGGGAAGTACGTGGTAATAAATAGCATGAGAATCTACCAGATGCTCTGCTGGATAAGGAGGGACAATCTCCTCCTGTACCAGTCAGATCTGATTTGATGGTACACACACACATATACATACATACATACATAAAAATAAAATAATAGCATGAGAAAGAAAAGGATTCTTGGCACAGACATCGAACTGTAGACATTTTCATATTCCTGCCCAACTCATTTTAAAATATGGGCTCTAACTTGGGAAAGAAGAAAATCAAGAAATCAACATCCTTAACTTATGTAACCGTGACAAACATTCACAAAAGTTGATCTCTAAATAAAATGAGTTTAATAGAGTTTATAATTGCCAGTAAAAAAACATTCTGTTCACTGAATAGACTTGGCTATAAGATTAAAGTGTTCTTACCGAGCTACTCTATCATGACCTCCTGACACAAAATAATAGCCATATGGAGAAAATTGCGTGTCCCAGACTGGATAGTTGTGTCCTTTGTATCCCACTAAGCAGGTGAATGTTTGAAGACTCCATAATCTCACAGTTCCATCTTCTGAAGAAGAAAGCAGGTAGTTCCTAAGAGAAGAGAAGAGGATATATCTCATTCCCAGGATATCTTTTGGTTATCCTCCTAGTTGCTCTATATATCTGAATCTATTAAAGATAGTTTACATGCTACATCTCACTTTTTAAAAAATCTCACTTTTAATAAATACAAGGAATTCACAGTAGAAATCAAGAATTGACAGGACTCCTAACTTGCTATGGAAGCTTCTAACTAAAAAAAAAAATAAAAGACCACAATAAAATTTAAAAAAAGAGCTGAATGCACTAATCAGATTCATTTTAGCCCTGCCAGTCTATAGCTACTAAATGAGGTTGATTATAAAAAATGTGGTCTAAGAGGGAGAAATGTAGGGGGTAATAAGTAATCGTAGTTATGCACAACCAAAACTAATTTATTAAACTAGTAAACCCTGAAGTTGTACACGTGATCCATAAACTCAGGTATACATTTAAATTGCCATTTTGTATCCCAGTATCCCAAGATGAACTGGAAAGTGGCCAGATTCAATGAATGACAGGTAAACATGAAATTTTCTTCTAGCAGATTTTTTTCTTAGTATTTGCATGATGTTTCTATGGTTTCACTGTAGCAGTAGTAATTCATTTTCATTGTGTTTTACCTATCTGGACTGAAGCTGGCTCCATAGACAGGACCACTGTGACCATACAAAATCTTCAACTCACTTGCCGTCTTCTCATCCATGATTCTCTCTAAGACATCATCAGATTCTTTGTCTATGAGGCTAAGATCTGGAATGATCCAGAAATAATATTTTTTTTAAGGTACATTCATCAAAACAATCTAAGGCAGGCAGTTTACATCACATTTTAGGAACTTTTGGTATCTGACAAGTTCTGAATCCTCCAAATGAGACAGTATTATCCTGGTTATAAAGGCGAGGAATGGGAAGTTCAGAACAGTTAATATCATTTGCAAGGGGAACACAGCTCCTCAAAGATGAAACTACAATTGAAATTCAATTTTTCTCCTTTACAGTATTTCACAAAAATGGGACAATGAAAATAATAAATTTTTGTTAAATGTATTATTTTATTTGACTAATATAGGGAGTTTTTTAGTTTTTTTAAATACCAAGAACAGTTAAAATAGAGAATACTTTTCCACTACTAAAGGATTTTTAAAACTCTCAGAGCAATTATAAAATGTTAAGATATTTAATTATAAAGATCTTTATAGTCTATTCTATTATTCTTTAGATGAGAGAACAGAGGATCACAGAAACTAAGCTAGCCTGGCACCCCAGTCTTGGGAGCTCTGGTGGCTTAGTGTTAAGGTACTGCACACTCTAATACAAAGACACACAGTTCAAATTCACCAGCTGCTCTGCAGGAGGAAATTGGGCAACCTCCTTCTCCCATGCAATTCACAGCCTTTGAATACCTGATAGAGGGTCAGCTTTGAGTGGGTTCCAAATCAATGGCACACATACAACAGCACCCTAGTCTAGACTAGACATTCACTGGTCTAGAAATTGCCATTGCTAAGGCTGTTCCAAAAATGGCTTTCCTTTAGAATGATAGCATCTTGAGTAAAGAGAAGTCAGGTGAGTTTTCTATTATGATCATAAGCTCTTGGGTATGTTGTATGGAATCAAAACCGGTAAAAAGAAATGAATGAAAAATGAGATGTTGACATCCTGACAGCTAGGTCCTCGCAGTTACCTGCAGCTTGTTTCACACTGCGAAGCTTCTTGGGTGTCACAGACCACACTCTGACAGTTGAATCTGCAAAACCTCCAGCAATCAGACTAGAATCATCAGTGACATCCACTGCGGTGAGGCCCTGCCAATAAAAAAACATTTCATATTAGACAATATTGTTTATCATTGTTTCAAGAAATGAAAATATCATAATAGGTTGCAACAACCCCATGATACATCTTGAAGGATATGTACATGTACAGCCAAGCACAATCAATAAGAGTGCATCTGAATTCCAAAATCAATCTCCATAATAGTCTATGTGTTTCCTACTGCCAAAGGGGCCCTTTAGAGTAGTGAGAGAAGATCTTCACCCTGAAACCCACAGCGTCCCTTTTCAGCAGGAAGTAGCTAAGAGAATACGCCGTCCCCTTTTCCTTATGACTCAGGGTAAAGTCTCTCTCAGGGAGGAGTGATAGGGAATGGCAAAGGATACACTGACAAAGAAGATTAATCAGAACTGGCTTTGACAAGCACTGTGGCATTTGGACAAGAACAAACTGGGAGGAGGGTAGAGAGAATAGTGCAACAATGAATGAGTGGAAGCCCAAAATCTCTGTAAATGTTTATGAAAATTAATAAAATATAATTATAGAAAAAAAAAACAAGGCAAAGAACAAGGAAAAAAAAATATCATAATACTGTTTGGAGAAAAATAAATATGACAATCACAGTTTAGAGATGATATCATCACTATTCTTCTTATATAAGAACCTAATTGGGAATGATTGAAAGAAAAACTAGTATAATTTACAAACTTTCAAATAAAAAAAATATATGAAATTGAAAAGGATTTTGATCTTGAGACTAATGCCATGGGACACTCTTTAAACAATGAACAGTACCTATTCCAAGGTCATCTTTTAGCTAAATAACATAGTAGTTCACAAAATAAAGAATATCACCCATAAGTATTGTGCTTCTTTAAAAAAATCATCTATATGCGACGGAATGGTCAGCAACTAACTATCTTTAAAATAAAATAAACTACTGGAAATGGAACAACCAGAATGGAATGTCAACCTAACAATTTGCATAGAAATTGTTGAATGGAAACATAATTTGCTGTATAAAATTTTTACCAAAACAAAATGTTGTTGTTATGTGCTGTCAAGTCGCTTGCGACTCATAGCGACCCTATGTACAACAGCCCTAAACTCTGCTCTGTCCTGTACCAATCACACTGTCTCCAATACACCCATCCCGATTATCCCAGTTACTGAATCAATCCACCTCATAGAGGGTCTTCCCCTCCTGCGCCGTCCCTCCACCCTCCCAAGCATTATGTCTCTCTTCAAGGACCGGTCCCCTCTTTCCAACATGTCCAAAATATAACAGACGAAGCCTCAGAATCCTTGCCTCCAAGGAGCCGCCCAATTTAACCCTCTCCAGGATGAATCTGTTTTTCTTGCAGTCCATGGTACCCTCAATACTCTTCTCCAGCACCACAGCTCAAAGGCATCAATTCTCCTTCTATCCTTCCTAGTCATTGTCCAACTCCCTGATGCATAACAAGTGATTGCACAGACCATGGCCTGTATCAGACGCACCACAGTCTCCAGAGAGATACCATTGCTCTTCAGAACTTTGGAAAGATCCCTAAATGCAGACTTTCCCATCAAAACAAAAGTTTTTTTAAAAAAAGACAAAAAGATGCCCCTCCCCGCAATCATCTGGAACTTATCCTTCTCTGGACTTCTTAGAGCACCCTGGTGGCACGGTTCACAGAGAGCTTTGCTAACCCAAAGGCTGCAGCCTCTCACTAGTTCGGATACACTGGCAGCTCTGCGGGAGAGATGAGTACTCTCCTTCCCATTGTTATTTCCAGCTGTGGAAACCTAATAACGAGTCACTATAGGTTGGAATCAACTTGACAGCAACGAGTCTGTGGATTTCCTAGACCCACTGGGTGAAAACACTTATTCTGGAAACCATCTTTTTTTAAAAAAAAACATCTTTCACTCCTTTTTTGCTTTCCAAATTTACAGCATGTTAGGAAGTGTATTTTTACACTTGACTAAATATATTGTCAGAGTCTATTATGAACCGTCTAGCGTTCTTGTTAAGTGTATCTAGTTGAGTATAACCGACAACCCCATGAACAACTGATCTGCACCCTGTCCTAGACTGTGTCATCCTCATCACTTCTGACATTGAGTTCACTGCTGCAATCACTATATAACCCATCTGGTTGAGGGTTTCCTCTCTTTTGCTGATCCTCTTTCCAAGTATGATGTCCCTTTCCAAGGAAGAGCATCTCTGGTGAACATGCCCAAAATGTGTGAGCCTAAGCTTTGTCATCCTTGCCTCCAAGGAGCATTCTGGCGACACTTTTCCCAAGATATATCTGATAGTACTTTTGGCAGTCCATGGGATGTCCAATACTCTTCTCCAACTCCACAGCTCAAAAGTATCAATTCTTCTTCTGTCACCCTTCTTCCTTGTCCAGTTCTCAAATGCATAGCAAGTGACTGAAAAGACCGTGGCCTGAATCAGGAGCACCTTTGTTTTCTAATTTGTATCAATATTCTTCAGTAATTTAGAAAAGTTCCTGACTATTGACTTTGCAGTGCAATATGTCTCTTGCTCTCCTAACTGCTGGTACGAAGGTGCTTATTGTGGATCCAACTAAGATGAAATTGTTGACAGTTTCTCCATCTATCATGATGTTGCCTACTGGTCCAGTGCTGAGAATACTTGTTTTCTTGACATTGGGAATCCTAATGCCACTTTCCTCATACAGTCCAGCTTCTCAAATGATTTGTTCAGCATACAGACTGAGTAGATATGGGGAAAAGATACAATCCTGATACACACCTTTATTAATTTTTTGGTTTTGTTTTTTTTTTTACCTTTATTAATTTTAAACCATGTATTGTTACCATGCTCTGTTCACACAATAGCCTCTTGGCCTATGTATAGTTTTCACTGGAGTACAAATAAGTGTTCTGGGATTCCTATTCTTCTCAATGTTAGTCATAATTTGTTATGATACACACAGTAAAAAAAAAAGTACACATAAAATTCTTAATATAAAAAATGATTTATGCCACCAGAGCTCATAAAAATTTTAATAGGTTTATTTGCAACAATGAATGAATGAATGAATGGAAATCCAAGTTTTCTGTAAACTTTTGTTAAAATCACAATAAAAAATTATTTATTAAAAAACTATTATAGGTTTATTGGAGTACTTAAACAAGTTAAACAGAGATGACTCATATCATCTCCTATTTCTCAAAGGCTAGAATTCTGCTCAATGGAACAAAGGTCAAATTTAAGTAAGATTCTAGTATCTGCAAGTAGCTAAAGGCCTCTCAAACACTGCCTTCATCTATTCAGAGCAGTATCTAGTCTTTTTTCCTAAATTTTATGTTTATATTAAGTTTAAAAAGTACCTTTCAGTTAGCATACTAAGTTTCTTTTAATAGTAATAAATCACTATTTTTCATTATTCTCCAGGCAGAAATTTCCCGTTATTTTACCAACCTGATAAGCATTAAGGAATGTATAGAAACAGATGGAGGGTAAGCAGTCTGGACCAAGGCGTACGCGTTTGGTGGTTTCTTTCATATTCATTATCTTATCCAGCTTATCTGAATCTTTCAACTCAGGAAGAGGGATTCTGTGGGAAAACACAGACAGGCTGGAAATTACCCTTTAGATATTAATACCCTTGAACTTTCTATAACAGATTATCTTACACCTCCATACAACTTAGTGGCCCAAGGTAAGTATTCTCACCTGTTCTGAGGTGGGGCATTGGGATCTTGTTTTTTGCTTTTGGATCCAATACTATCTCTTTTAGGCTTTTTCTTTTTAGGTTTCCCTTCTTCATTTTCTCCCTCTTCATCTTCATCATCCAAGGGTACCTCAATTTCTGGTTCTTTTAATAAACCAAAAAATACCTACAAGTCAAAAGAGCCCATATTTTTCAATTAATTTTTTCTCTAATACATAGTGCTCACATCCTGATAGGATGAGTCCCAATTAAAACATACTAATTTACACCCTGTGACAGATTTTGTTCCAATTGCATTCTCCCCTTTTTTCCTATTAACAGAACTATGGTTTTGCTGGGAGCAACAACGTACTAAGTAAATCACTTCTGCTCCCGGGCTCCTGTTCTCTCTTAGTTTCTGTTCCAAGGCTCCCTTGCAGCTAGGAACAGCCACATAATTCTGACCAACAGTACACAAAAATATACTGGATAAGGTTTAAGAGGAAAGTGCCATTTTCCTGATAGAAAGGATAAGATCCAGCAGGGTTATATCTTTTGTCTTTCTTATTTCCTGAAATGCAGCTGCTCTACTGTAGCTGCAACAACTAACTGTGAGAACAAAGAAATTCACATTCTAAAGAGGCAGAATAGAAACAGAGAAGGAGCCAGGTCCTGGATGGCATTTTGGGGCCCGTATGCCAACCCCAGAGGGCCTTCCTCTGGCCTTGTTTTTATGTGGCAGGGGGGAAAAACAACTTGGTGTCTTAGCCACTGTGTCAGGGTTCTGTAAAATGCAACCATCCTCAATTCTAACATATACTTGGTCCTTAGGACATAACATTCAATCTTGCCACCACCGTTACACAGTAACTAACAATAAGAAAGAAATGCTACAACTTTCTCATAATTTGCATTATAAAGCTCCCAGGTTTATGCACATACCTTTGATTTGTTTGCCTCTCGTTTCGCCTCCCCTGCCAGACTTCCCACCATCGCATCTATCTGCTGCTTACTACGCGGCATGCCATCGAAGATGTCAATGTACAGGTGCTCCTGAACTATGTTCCATATCTGATTGTTCTGTTTCTCCTGAAGATGCCTCTTCAAGAGTTGGTATGAGTCACGGGAAATACGCAGAACAAATTTACTTGTTCGAAAATCCAGCATGGTCTCATTCCCTTTCATATGTTCCTTTTTGGTAAGACTAGATAATACTCGCAGATCATCTTGGTAATAACATTCCTGATCTCCATGGAATCTGTTTCAGAGATTTTAAAAAGTCATTTTTTTAATGAATCACTAAAGGATCTGCCTTTCATCATTTATTTATAAATAAATTCTAGAATATTTTCAAAGTATTAGTCTGAATAATTCTGGACTAAGCTTTAAGTACAAAACTAACTTATTCAAAATTATTCCGATTCCATTTCTGAAGTCACCCTTACAATGATCAACTTGATTCTCTAACGCAATGTATGAAGCATTTCAAGAGAGGAACTTCAATAAATACCATAAATAAAAGAAATATAAGATACCTATCATTGATAGGCAGTTTGTTTTAAACGTGCGTGCGTGCGCGTGTGTGTGTGTTTGTGTGTGTGTGTATGTGTGTGTGTGTGTATATATCATCAAATCCAATCTGCCTGGCACAGCAACAGCTTAGCATCTGGTGGACTTGAACTGCGCACCTTTGGGATTGCAGCACAGCTTCTTGCCACTAAGCCACTAGAGCTCCCTTATAGGCAGTTTGTTTTAAATATCATTAGTCAATTGAAAATGTCAGAACTTGTGCTTTACTAACATTTTATGAGTCTTCAAAATGCATGACTTTTAGAGCTTATGGAAAATTCAAACATATACAAAAGTAGAAAACAGAATTAGAAACTCAGTGTAACTGTCTTATGATCATCAACATACGGCATTCTTACAAAGCACCATTTTTAATGCTTTCTTATGTCCTTAGTAACAGAAATAGGCATTAAATATTAATACTATGTCTAAAGAGCAAATAAATGTTGATAAGGATCAAAGTATTTCTATTAAATCACTACTTGAGTCAACCTTCAGCTATGATGACAATTAGAAAATTTAAATGAACTTGTTTCTACAAATCTTAGTTTTCCTCATTAAGTTTTATTAGAGATTATTTATTATATATAAATATATATTATATAACAACATACATTATATCTATCTTAGCATTCACTAAGAGAAAGAATCAAAACAAAAACACTTAAAAAAACAATGACATAATCTATTAAGCCTCTAGTGCTGACAGATAGAGACAACAGACTCTTAAACTGATCCCTGTATTTCCCTATTACAGTTCATTAATACATGAGCTAAGAGTCTCTAAGTTTTAAATGAAAGCAGAATTCTTAGCTTCTTGGTGTTTATATGTCAGTCACTGCCCATTCCCCCTAGGTCCCTGGCCAGGGCAGAGACTGAAGAGACAGGGAAATAGAATTTTCCTAAGCTTCTCCCAAATGGAGAGACTTCTATACCAGGAAATCTGAAGAGCACAGGGGTCATTTATTACAATATTCTAAGAAAAATTAGTGTCTAGTATAGTTGTATATTACTCATTGTTTTTTCTCTTCCAAATTTACTGAGCTACGGAACATTGTACTTTACATACTTCCAACTAGGCAAAAAGAACAATGACACAGGAGCCAGGACACCCAATTGTGTCCTTTCACTATTGCTTTTATCTGTGTTATCTGACAAATTCTGACTCTGCCTCTATTGCTTGTACTAAAGAGCTTTTTGTTAAGGACTGAATCCTTCTTAAACACTTACTGGCTTCTTAACATTTTCTTGGTTTTCTTCATACTTCTGTGCCTTCTTTTATTGTTTGCTGCTTGGCCACTAAATGTGAGGAGTTTCTCAAGATCCAGATCATGCCCTTCTATTGACTTACCTCATACCTCTCTCCTTGGCTGAAGAATTCTGATGGCATAGTTCACAGGGAGTTGTGCAGGGAGCCCAAAGGTGGTGCCTCTCTGGAAACTCAAATCCACCAGGGAGAAAAACAGATAATCTCCTCCTGTGAGATTTCCAGTCTCGGAAAACCAACTCAAGGGTCAGCTATGAGTCGGTTCTTACCCAACAGCAATGAAGTGGGTTTTGATCCCCCTTGACTATATCATCCATGGGCATCAATATGGAATATTCCAAATTTGGATTCAGTCCTCACTTCTTTTTCTGAGCTCAAGAGCCTCCCATATCATGACTCCATATGAATCAAAGGCATATTCACACCTGAACTCAAAATTATTCTATAACCTGACAAACCAAGCCTTCTTCCAGGATTTTTTAAATCTAAGTGAAAGACACTCTTGTCCAGATAAGAGAGCATTAAGCCTAAGAGGTTAACATTGACATCTCTATCTCTCTTCTTGTTGCTGGGTATCACCGAGTCAGAACCAACCCATAGCTTACCCTTCAGCAAGCTTACAGAGGCAGTTAAGCACATAGGAGGAGACTGCCCAAGTTCTCTACCACAGCAGCTGATATATTCAAACCCAGTGCCTTCGGGATTGCACCTCAGCTTCTTAGGTCAGCTATGCCCTTTCTAATCTATCATCAGGTCTCTCCTAGATATCTCAATCTGTATATTTCTCTCCATCCACCATAACTCAAAAAAGGTGCTACTGTCACTTGGAGTAGGAAAAGCTTTGCTAAATGACACTACCTGCACACATTAGAACACTTGGTACCTCTAAGTCACATGCACCTCCTCCTTAGTCATTATGACAATCTGTATCTCCATTTTCAAATAACCCAAGGGAAGGAAGAGTAGCACCCCACTTAAAATTCTCTGCAATAGTCCCTAAAATGATAGAGCCTTTCTGTCCCCTAAACATTAATTTTTCAAACTGCGATCTTTCGAAGTGCAAATCTTTCAATGACCTCCGTAGCAGAGGCACCTCAACCCAAATATCCAATGTTTTTCCCTTTCTTCCTCCATGATAAAACCTCTCAATTTTTATTTTATTTTAGCAAAACAGATAAAAAAGGTTTATTACGGCAACAAGACTTAGTGTAAGATGGGCCATGGAAAAGTGTTAAAGTGAAAAAGAAAGAAGGGGAAAAAAACCTGGAAAGACAGGGGTGATACCAGACCTTACAGTATGCTGTCAGCAGAAAAGGACACTAAGAGCAAACTTCTGAATATTAACTGGGCTCACAGACAAATACAAAAGGACCTCAGTTCCTATCTCCCTTGCAGCTATGCAGGGCCTCCTAACTGATGAAATATAAAATGAAAAATTATGTTCAATTCCAGGAGGGAGGTGTGTGTGCCCCCTCTGCTGACTGGAATGCTGACGTGGGGGTTGAGAGCTAGCAGTCACTTTATGCCCCAAGATGAGAGCTGCATGAGGAGGACGGTAGAGCAGCAAAGCAGAGCGAGTCTGGGTCCCTGAGAATCAAGGGTCGTCCGTTATCAGTGCTGGACTGCTTACTTTATGACAAAAAGTGAAATAACTGTATTTCACATACTACTGAGTTGTCAATCATTCTTAATCAAATCTAATCCTATTGTTGAGTACTGTCGAGTAGGAATAGCTGCCCCTCCAGCAGGTTTTCAGAAGCAGTTCACCGCATGACTGCCCTTCCTTCTCCCATGGAGTAGCTGGCAGATTCGAACCCTGTGCACTTGGAGTTGTGCAGGTTCTGGCCACCAGAGCTCCTATGTAATACAATATCCTGCTTGTTTTGTTGTTGTGTTTTTTTTGTAATAAACAAAGCTCCTCAGATGGTCTAAGAGATGGCTTGTTCTAACAGCTCTCCAGGTTCCTGCTGTAGCACACTCCCATCCCCATTCTCTGTTCCAGACAGTCTGGCTTTCTTTAGGCCTTTTTCTTCATCATACTCCCGCTCACTAGAACTTGTACAGATACCTATTCCCCTGTTTTGCATATCCAGTTAACTTCTATCCAGTCTTCAGGTCTTACCTCAAACACCCCTTTCTCTGGGAGCCTTCCCTGTTTTCTCCAACCAGATCAAACTCTCTCTTTTAGGCTCTCATAGCACCAGGTACCTCTCAGTCAAAAAGCCCCTTCTTATTTGGTGTGACTACACACACACATAATCAGATAGACTGAATTTATATAGATATATAAATTCACATACTTCTCAAACGATTTTGCTATATAGATATATAAATTCACTTACTTCTCAAAAAATGATTTTGCTTCATTCTCATGTTGATTGTAGACTAGCTCCAAGTACATATGCACAAATAGCGGATAAAAGAGTTGTGACAGTTCTGCCCGATGGCAATCCAGAGAACATTCAATGAAATGTTTAAGTCCACTGTAGTATTCTTCATACATTGCAGGATCTCCTTGCTGGTTATAAGCTGACAGCACAGCACTAACATCCGGCTGGTCCTCCACAGCTACACTTGCAACTGTTTAAAAAAGGCAAAACAACTTTCAAGCAAATGACTTGTGTCAGGACAAGCTAGTCTACTAAGGTTCAGCATTAAAATGATGTTCAAATATGTCTGTCTTTCTCCTCTCAATCTCTCTTGCCCCATATAATCACATGGACCTTTTATGGATTTTTTTTTTTACTTTTTCTCATTCACCTTGGCCAAATCTTGTTAACTTATGTATATCTTAAAATAAAATTTGCAAATCAACAACAAAAAGATTCAATATTTTTCCTATTGTTGTTGTTGATTGCCATAGAGTCGAGCAAGACTCATAGCAATCTTATGAATAAAAGACCTGAAGCCTTTCTATAACGATTGTCATTTACCAAAGTTCATAAAGTTTCCAGAGGCATGGTTTTTTTTTAACTTTTTTTTTTCTTTTCTTATTGTCTACCATCAAATTGGCTCCAACTAGCACAGGAGGAGATAGCCCCTCCTTCTCCAGCATAGCATCTGGTGTATTTCAGGAGGCATGTTGTTTAGAAAGTGGATAATTACCTTATTTTCAGGATAAATTTTATAAAAGATTATCATCTATATTAATATTCTCTCAGGTCTCTGCACACAGAACACCATTTAATTTACTACTACCATGAAGACAGGCCTTGAAATAACATTCCCAGCTCTCAAAGCCGTCTAATAACTTTGTAACTTTCCTGTAACACATCCTTTCCCACTGCTATGCACATTCATCATCCCTTCCAAAACTTTTAACATTTTAAGGATGGGAAGGACCTGACTTCCTCTTAAAATCATTAAACAAATTTAAATAATCATGATTTCAAAGCAGAAAAACCTAACTAAAGCTATATTAAAAACAAAACAACTTGCAGCATATTGTTATATACCATCAAGTCAGAAGGAACTCACAGTTGACTCTCCAAAGGGTTTTCAAACCCAGTAAATTGCATGGGAGGAGACTGCCCATCTGTTTCTTATAGAGGAACTGGTGGGCTTGAACTGAGTACCCTGGGTTGGCATCACAACTCCTCAGCAGTAGGCCACCAGGCTTCCTAATAATGATGCATTTTATTACTCTAATCAGAGATATTAGTTGTTGAAAAATTTTGTACATTTCAATTATACTGCTGATATATTCTTTACTCCACAAATGTTATCTCTTTTTTTTGTTACTCTGATAGCCTATTTTTAGTTTTTCTGTTATGATCTAAAAATAGGCCAACTTTCAAAAATAAATAAATAACAGGCCAAGTTCAAGAGATGATATAGCAAGAAACCAACTGCATAACTCATCTTTTTTTTTTATTATTTCGTGTGTGTGTACCATCAAATCAGATTTGACTGGTACAGGAGGAGATTGCCCCTCCTTCTCCAGCAGGGCATCTGGTGGATTTGAACCAGAGGTTGAAGGCCTCTGCAAGAGACAATTCAATTAACACTAACTGTTGGCTCAGGATCACCTTTGAGATATTACCTGTATGATATTATATGTATGAAATCTTTTTATTGTATGTATGAGAAACACTGCCTACCCATGTTCCATCACCCCGAGTGGTCTACGGAAAAGTCCCTTTGACTTTAATCAGTCTGTTTTCTCATCTCGAATACAGAGGCAATGGCTACTTCACAGTGGTATTCTGAGCATTAAGACAGGTCATTTGAAGTTTTGGGTGTGTTTCGGTTTTTTTATAATCACATTAGTTTGGAACTACACAAATATTGTTAGTGTAGGTGCAAACTCAAAGAGCTCAAATGAGAACAGAGGAGCAAAGCCCTAGAGGCAGGCACTCGCCCCCTCTGCGCCCCGCTTCCCACACAGCCCTCCGCTCTCTCCTCCATCCTCCAGCTCAGACTGACAGCTCTGGAGAGGGTTTGACTGCGCAGCCGGCGCACCAGAGAAAGGGGCGGGCGTGTGGCCCTAGAGGCGGGCCCAGGAAATTCAAAACAAGCCCGCAGAGGTGCAGGCCTGCCAGCGCTGCCTCCCCGGCTCTGCTCCCTTCCAGCCGTCCCTGCCTCCCCGGGACTGCGCGCCCTACCTTTTCCCGGAGCCGCAGGCACGGACGCTGAGCCCGAGACACTGGCGGCTCCGGGCGCGCTGGTGCCCGGAGGGTCGGGGGCCGCCGGGCCAGGCACCGAGGCGGTGACACGGCTGAGAAGCGTGCTGGCCGCCTCGGCCCCGATGCCGTCCGCTTCTCCTGGAGCTCCGGAGCCCGCCACTGCCTCCTCCAGTAGTCGGGCCTCGCGGCGCAGCGCCTCTTCGGCCTCGCGGAGGTTGCTCTGCCGGAGGAACTGCAGCACAGCCAGCAGCGTCTGCCGATCGTGGGGAGCGTCGGTCTCCGTGGCTGCGGCGGGCACTGGGGCCGCCCCCGCCGGAGCAGCGGTGGAGACAGCCACCGCGGGCTTTGGGGTCCCACCATCCCCGCCGGCCGTGGACGCCGCCGCGACGTTCCCGCCGCCACCGTTGGGCCCGTTGTTGGTAGTGCCGCCGCCGCCCTCGCCAGCCCCGTCTCCTGCCTGTGGAGGTAGCAGCGTCGGCGGTCCCTCCGGCTCTAGCTTGGCCGCCACCTCCGTCTGCTCCTCCGCCAGCGCCGCCATCTTGCGGCTGAGCCACTTCGCGCCGTCAAGCGTGACTGCGTTTTCGCCACATGGAGGGCGGGGAAGGAGCATTTCACGACAACCCTGGGGGGCAACTTACGGCAGTGGGAGGAGCAAGAGAAAAGGAATAGGAGTGAAGAGCAACTTTCAAAAGTGGCAAGAAAGGCAGGAGGTCTGGTTTGGCTGCTGCGTGTTACATTTGCTTAATAATAAAATAAAAACTCCAAATTCACTGCCATCAAGCCAATTCCAATTCATAGCGAGCCTCTAAGACAGTAGACCTGCCTCAGGGTTTCTGTGGGTGTAAATCTTGACGTGAACCGTGTTACAGATTTCTCTCCCACGGATTAATAAATTCCAACCGCTGACTTTTTTTTTTCACTTGCATGCAAAACTTTAATTAATATAATTTTAAAAACAGTTACAGCTCTACACTGAAAAGAGTTTCCCAGGAATTCAATTCAGATTCAGAAGGAAAAAGTGGAAAGCAGGGCATCATCGGTGATATTAGATGGGTCTTGTCTGAAAGCAAAGGCCATCAGAGAGTTATTTACCTCTGTTTTATTGATTTATACAAAGGAATTTTTAGCATGCATCATAAAAAAAATAAGTAACATTGTAAAGAATGAATTCCAGAACTCATAGGTGTGTGTACCAACCGCTGACTTTTCAGTTAGCAGTCCAACCCAATCCATTGCACCACCAGGGCTCTGCCCAATATTAACTACCCTTTATTGCAAGTATTTTATTGTAAAGGAGCCATGCATGAGCCCAGCAGAAATAGCTGTTGAATATTGAGCTGATTCTGAAATCTTAACCAATTTTCCAAAACCTCCAATCTGTGGGTTCTGGGTTTAACCATCTTGCTGGCAGAGCTCCTTTCTTATGCACATATAGCATTAACACGTTAAAAGCAAAGATGTTGTCTGGTACTGTTGAGAAATGACCCATAGCTGACCCTCCATAGGGTTTTCAAAGGTCAGGGGAGAGGAGATTGTCCATCTCCTGAGGAGTTGCTGGTAATTTTTTTGGGTTGGCAACACAGTTAACCATAAAGTTTTGGGCCTACTTCATTTACATTTCTATGCCCCTACTAACCTGGGCCAGATGACTTCACCCGGATCTGTGTTATGCGAATATCCTGAGTATTCTGGTCTTGTATAAGATGAAGACATGAGATTGCTACCCATATGAAAAAGTCTCTCTTATCGAAGAAACCGGGAAACCAAATGTATTAAATTCAAAATAAGTACTATTTTCTCTACATTGCACATGATTCCATCAAGCCCCAAAGAGTTGGAGTAATTTGGAAAAATCACGTAACAAGTTAAAGTGCCAGGATGCAAGTCCAGCTATTCAAGTCAGAGACATTTTGGCATTTGCCAGAGGAAGGCTTCTGAGCTACAGTTAATGTTTTCTATTTGATCTAATTTTAAAGATTAAATGGACCATGTCTATGATGCCTGTTGTCATTTGTTGCCCTCAAGTTGATTACAATCATGATAATCCCATGCATGTCAGGGGAGAACTGTGCTCCATGCCATTGTCAAGATTGTGAGTTTTCAGAAGCTGATCTTCAGGCCTCTCCGCTAAGGCACCTTTGAATGGACTTGAACTTGTAGCTTTCTAGTTACCGAGCACTTGTGCCACTCAGGAATTCTATGTGATATCCAGAACATATAAATAAACCCACTGTCACTGAGTCAACTCCAACTCATAGTGATGCCCATAGGGTTTCCAAAGTGACATCTGTACCCAAGTGGACTGCCATGCTTTTCTCCTTCAAAGCAGCTGGTGAGTTCAAACCCGTGGCCTTTTGGTTAGCAGCTGAGTGCTTAAACCACTGGACCAACAGAACTCCTACATCATAAATGCTGTTAGCAGAAACAACTGAGTTGGAACTGACCCATAGCTGACCCTCTAGCAAATTTCCAGAGGCAGTGAATAGTGATGAAGGAGATTGCCCATCTTTCCCTGCAGAACAGCTGGTGGATTCAAACCAGTACCTTTGTGCTGTGTTGGCAGGGTGCATATCCTTCCTACAAAGGTGCTAGAGCTCCCTACATCATAAACGGAGGAAGAATGCCACAGTTGCCCCCAGGCCTGATCCCTCCTTGAAGAAACCTGTTAATGTCTTTCTCCTGATGAGGCTATGGGCCTGTTCACAAATGCTCACACCCAAGATCACTGACAGGACTCCCGACCCCCAATTCTGTGACAATAAATAGTCCTTGGTTATTTTTATTTCCACTTAGAAAATGTCTTGCAATGCACACCTATGTTTATTGCTGCTTTGTTCACAATAGCCAAGAGTTGGAAACAACCCAAGTGCCCATCAAAAAACAAATAGAGAAGCTCTGGTATATTCACACAATGGAATACTATGTATAATGGAATATCATGCAGCATTGAAAAACAAGGAACTCATGAAATATTACACAAAATAGGTGACCATGGAGGACATTATGCTGAGTGAAATATCTCAGTCACAAAAGGACAAATACTGCATAATGCCACTGTTCTAAAACAGGACTGACATCAGGTTTAGGGGGGAACTAAGAAAAGTGGGGATAAATAATGTACACTGCATTGAAATAGATGAGGGAGAGAACCGTTGTTTTGTTTTGTTTTTTTTTAGAACCGTTTTAAAAGGACATATGATTAGGTATTATTTGCGTAAACAAGAGTCCAGAATAAGAGCTGCATAGTGAAGTGGTCTGGAGGGAGGATTATATAACAATGAAAGGTTTGGGTTTTTTTTTCCCTTTGGCCCAGTGGACAGAAAGTGATGCTACCAAGCCAAAGGCGGGCCTGTCTTTCATTGTTTTTGTTCAAACATTCCTCTAGGTCGTATAGCCCTGGTGTGTCCACTTGCCATACAGAGGTAACTTGTGGTCGCTATGAGGCTGAACACTGTGACAATGATGTGTCAAATGCGTTAATGGCTGGTTACCCATCACGGATAGTGTTGGTTGGAGCTCCCCAATTAAAACAATCTTGGAAGGAGGAGTGGCATCCCCTTCCATAATAGCTTGCCTCCGGAAACCCTATGGACCTGGAGATAGGATGAAAGACACACAAGTGTTGAGGACTTTCCTTCAAAGGGTCGCTATGAGTCGCCTGACTCGATGGCACTTAACAACAACAAAGAGAAAAGCAAACTGGGGAGAGGGGTAGGCACAGAGGGAAATTATGCAACAACGAATGACTGGAAATCCAAGTTCTCTAAAAACTTTCATAAAAATCTCAATAAAAATAAAGGAATAAGAAACCAGGCCAAAAAAAAAAGGGTCTTACAAATGTTTAATCAAGGAAATTAAATGCTAAACTACAGGGTGTGATCACAAGACTGAAATATGACACTGGTGTCTTTTTTTTTCTTTATAATTTTATTACTTTTCGTGTATCCTGTCAAATTGGCTCTGACTGGTACAGGAGGAGATTGCCCCTCCTTCTCCAGCAGAGCATCTGGTGGATTCAAACAGCATACCTCTGGGATTTCAATGCAACTTCTTGCTACTAGGCCACCAGAGCTCCCTTGAAACTGATGTCTTAAGACTATATAAGATAAAGTTTAAAGAGAGGTGGTCAAGAAAAAGATTGAGTAGTGGTGCTGGAGAAGAGTATTGAATGTACCATGGACTGCTAGGAGAACAGGCTCGTCCAAGAGAGCATGAAACCAGGTTTCTCTTTTAAGCAAGGATTTTAAAACTTGGTCTGACTCACTTTGGGCATGTTGCAAGGAGGGACCAGTCATTGGAGAGGGACATCAGGCTTAGAAGGGTGGAGAGAGAGCACAAGAGAGGAAGACCCCGGATGAGATGGATTGACTCAGTGATTTGGGCATTGGGGGTAGGTGTGTCAGAAACAATGAGGTTAGCTCAAGATAGAGCAGGGTTCAGAGCCCTTGTCCATAAGGTTGCTATGAGTGGCACACAACAACAAGTAGTGGTTCACAAGTCCAGGGCCTTGTCCACAACACAATAGAACCACCACACTTTTTTGTGTGTGTATATAATGTAGTGATATTTGCTTTCTAATAAATATTGGCAATTTATATCTGGGGGGCAGGAATCAGCCCCCACTGAAAACTCTATAGAGCACAATTCCACTCTGACATATATGGGGTCGCTATGTGTCAGAACCACTCAACAGCACCTGGTTTTTAATTTTGGGAGAAGTGTGCCTCTTATTAACCAAGCAGCCATGGCAACTAAAACTTGGGGCCCCAGCTGTGAAAATAGGTACATACACACCATCAATCTTAATGTTTTTGCAAAGTAACCTGACAGTCCGGGACAGCATGGTCCATTGCTTCAGGTCTACACAACAAAATCATCGATCACTGACATAAAAAACATTCCAAAGGCTGTAGTTCCAAGGGTTAGTCATGGTTTAAGATTCCCTGGGAGATGGCAAGGAACAACTAGCCACAGCTGCTATGTTAACTAACCATTTCACCCTGGAAACTTTAATGAAAAGTCCACTTTTACCCCAGTGATTTGAAATGCCTCTTAGTGGTAAGGAATTGTGCTATCAATCCAAAGGGATGTTATTTTAATCTCCCAGCTGCTTCGTGAGAGAAATATAGGCAATTTCTTCCCATGCAGTTTGTTGCCAGAGACATTTAATTGCAAGGGAAGAAATTTTCCGTCATTCTCCCACAGAGCAACTGGTGGATTCGAACTGCATGCCTTTGACATTGCAGCACAGTTTCTTATCACTATTCGCTGCCTCTGAAAACCCTCAGAGGGTCAGCTATGGGTTAGTTCCAACTCTGTACTACTACAACATATGTACTCACACTTATTTTTGGATTTTTCTCTTATATTTCTGGTTTGTTTTACACCAACAAGCTTTATATTTTATGTCTAGTAGGGGAGCAATGGTGGCCTAGTGGCAAGAAGCTTCTAATCTACCAACTGCTCTGTGGGAAAAGGATGTGCAATCTCTTCCCATAGCTTTTCTTTTGAAGCGTATACTGGTTATCCTAGACTGTTTTGTTTTGGGGTGGTTTATTTTTATTATA